ATATATATATTCTGTATATATATATATATGTGTGTGTGTATATATATATGTATGTATATATATATAAATATAATATATAAAAGATATAATATAAGTAATGAAATGATATTATAAACAATGTTGACAAAATATTTGCGTCCGCGTACGTAAAACATGATTTTATGTTTATCCATAAATTGTATGTGAACTATTATTGATTAAACTTCACTGTGTTGCCCAAATACATTGAAAAAGAAGTCACAGATACGATGAAGATGCAAACTATTATTAGATTGCTGTAGATAGATCTATTCCGAAAAACTTTAATAGAACATGTTACGAACGTCACGTGTACCATTAATTTAATTTATGAATCATTTTATTTTAATAGCCGTCGCTATTAATATCAATGGCAGCATAATATTTCTATGTTACATCTGCATGTGCAGTACTATATTATTATTATTTTCCTGCTGATTATACGCATCATCACATTAGATCTATCATTGGCGATTTCTTAATTTTATCCTATCGTCACTTTCTCTCTATCTCTATTTTATAATTTACACTTTCCGACTGCCGGTAGGGGCAGGTGCGTTCCAATTGATTTGGACAGGCTAAGATTTTCAAAGTGAAGAAAGAAAAAAAAAAGAAAAGAAAAAAAAGATTTTATATCTTGTCGTTTGCGACGATCGTTTGACTATTTCTACTAACGTACCTAAATCTAGTATCGCACTAAACTCGTACAAGTAGATCAAAAAATAAAAAAAATAAAAAAAAAAAGGAAACGAAAAATAAAAAAAAGATGCAAAAATTTGCATTCGATTTCATGGCAAAGATTTTAATATATTTTGTGCTTGCTACAAGTAACACTGATCTCTTTACAGTGAAGTGAAATTTGACTTTTATCCCATAGAACATTTCTTTTACGATTCCTTTTTCTTTTTTCTCTTTTTTTTTTCTTTTTTCTTTTTCTTAATTTCCCTTTTTATTAGCGATAAGATAATTTTGTTTCGACAAACGGCGAAGGTCGATCCCCTGTGTGTCGGCCATCGCGTTTAACCGGCGAAGCAACGCACTTCGATATCGTTGAAATTGCAATGTTTCTAATATTATCGGTTCTATATCGGCGAGCAATCAGCAATTTTTATATCTGATCGCCATAATCAAAATCAAAGAGCAATTATCTTTTTTCGGTTCGATTAGAATCCGTACGAGCTTGTAATATGCGCGTTGAAACCGGAAGGAGTAGAAAGAAAGAAGGCAAAAAGAGAGATTTTTCGGAGAACGAAAACGTGCAAGTAAATCTCTGTGACAAACAACTTGTAGGTAGCACGAGGTAATTAGATTAGGTTACGGTTTTTCTCAGTAAACACATTCCTTAGTAGAACAGATTATGTATAAGGCTAGCTGTGATGGGGTTGCGAGTGAAAGAGAGCGAGAGAGAGGGAGAGAAAGGAGAAAATTAAAGATTTGGGGGGATGATATATATATATCTGTATATCTATATACTGATCAGCTGCCAGTACGTGAAAAATGCCACGATAGCGTGTAAAATCATAAGAATTTGTTTGTGCAGGGAAAATAACTCGATGGCGAATAATGGTTGATCAGCAAGGAGAAATGGAGGAACGATTGGACGGGGTTTTGTTCGTATTGTAACGAAAATGTCGATGTTAAGTGTGAAATTATATCAGGATCGGATGTCTCGGTCCATTTTCCAATGTTATCGCTTGGAACAGAAAAATAATAAACTCTCCTTGCATCATCGATAAGAAATGAACCGATAAACTTGTACAAGCCATAGAGATCAGCCAGTCTAATATAAGTATTTCCTTTAGCGGTTTATATACATCTGTACAATATTAGTATTTTATAAATATCGTAAATGTTACGGGGCTACGGTTCGTATGTGTTCACCGGTTTGCGGGATGATAACGCGATTAGGGGAGGGATCGATCGGTCGGGGTGATCGCGGGATCGATGGCGGGAAATTGCATGTGGGCAAACGGGGGGGCAGAGATGATCGATCGTATGCGTTCGTTCTGATTGTTTCGTGTTGACAGAGATACTTTTATAGAGTTTACCTGTTGCATTATTGCGTTAAATTTTATCGTCGCGCGTTGGACGATTGTTGCCTGAAGGGAAAAGAATATACCTCCATGCGAAGTGGCAAAGCAGAGCAGTATTGGTTGGCCAGTCTATGTTACCTACGAGTTGTTTAACGAGAGGACACCCGTTAGACTAATTAAGCCGGCAGTCGCCACGTATTTAGACGAATCTTATTTCATATGACGCTTTGTTTTGTACAGTTCGAGATATCTCATTCGATTATTCTATAAGCGAGGTGGGGAAAAGAGGTAAAACACGGCGGCAGTGAGTGTTCGTTGAGCGCCGTGTGATAGTTGTACGCGATTACTAAGTATAGATGTGTAGGTAGTGTCTTAAATCTCTTATAAAAGTCGTCATTACAGGTTCAACGTTTTAATCAATAATCGATCGATTTAAAATGGAAAAAAAAAGAAATATTTACAGAAATGGGTAAAAAAAAAAATATATATATATATAATATATATACATATATATGTATATATATATGATTATACTCTCGTACGTGAAGAACGTAGTGTGTAGTAATC